GGGAGGGGCAGAGAGTGGGCAGGCACGTGTGGAGGAGAGCAGTGAGGACGGCCGGGTGCGCGGCTGAGCACCCTCGTGAGATGGAGGCGGCTTCTTGGGGAAGCCTGGAGCCCAAAGGGGCAGAGAAAGGCGCTGGGGCAGGCTGAGGGGCTCCTGTGCCAAGGCCTGGGGAGGAGGCCTTCGTGAGGGGAAGCAACAGCCAGCCAGCTTCCTGTTTTAGGAAGCCCACGCTGGTGGGGTGCGGATGGGACAGGAGGGGAGGAACCAGAGGCTGGGGACCAGGGAAGCGGATGAGCAAGGACAAGCAGCTGCAGCTGGGAGCTGGGCTCAGTGCGGAGGAAGTCAGGCGCTGCCCACTGGCCGGGCTGGACTCCCCCCCAGGCCGCCCGCCGTCGAGATGGTGCTAGGACACTCTTCGAGAGGATTGTTTGCACTGGAGGGTCTGGCCTTGTACCCGGCAACACATCCTGCCCTGGGAGAGAGGAAGTCTCAGGAAGCCCTGAAAAGCGACAGGTGGGAACCGGCCAAAATGGGAGGAAGAGGTCTGGATTCTCATGGGCCTTGGAATTGGGGTTTGGACCAAGTTTAGCCAGACGTCCTGGGGAGGGCAGGGGAAGGGGCATCCAGCTGACTTCTAATAACCATAAAATAATAGCTGCTGTTTTTGAATTACCCACTGTATTCCGGGCCTTGGGCCCTGCATTTTCCTGTTGTTTCGGTGAATCCTCATACCCCTCCGTAACGATAACCACCACCGCCGTGAGGGCACTGGGCAACATTTGTGTTGGGCTGCGAGGCCCCGGCCCCCTGCTCAGCCTTTTATATGTATTAGCTCATTTTGGATCGTCACACGGTTCTGTGAGGTATGCATTACCATCCCCAACTTGCAGGTGAGGAAACTGAGGCACAGAAAAGTTATAGAACTTGCCAGACGGGGCAGTGCTAGGAGTAAGGAGGCGATGGAGCCTGGCTGCCGATGGATGGGGACCCGGACTGAGATGTCACTCCTGCCCCCCGCAGGTGTGTGCCGGCTTAGGGAGGGACGTCCAGGCTCGGAGCAGGGGCAGTTGGGAGAAGAGGGAGGGTGGGAGTGGGGGGGGGGTCTGCATCAGTAGCGCTTCCTGAAGGGGGCCACTGTGGGGTGACAGTTCCGCTAGAGCAGCGGCAGGTCCTTGGGGCTAAGTGGGGCTGGGGGTCTCAGGGCCCTGAATGGGGTGGGGGCTGGGTGACTGGAGCTCCATAAAGGGAGGCAGAGTCTGACTCGGTGTCAAGGAAGTGACAAAACTCTGTCCACCCCGACAGCACCCCGTACCCCACACAGCTTCCTACCTCCTGTGGCCCGACAAAATTCAGTGGCCTCTTTGTGGACCTTTACTTCCAGCCCCTGTTGGCCACTCCCTTCTGGAAGCATTCGCGTGCTCCGGCTGCTGTGGACCTACCTTCTGCCCCTCCGAGAGTCCTGTCCTCTGCTCTGCCCCAGTGCGACATCCCACCCCCTTGGCCAACCTGCAGCCTTCACTAGCCTCCATACGCGGAGGATACC